AGCATTTGGTAATGGCCTGATGGGTATGCCAATACTAAACGAACGAACAGATCCGAGTAAAGATCAAAGTGTTCGATGGATCAACAATCAGTTGATTGATGATAAAAGCAATGACTATTTACACAACGTAACAACTGCAGCACAACCGTTCATGTTTGGTAATATCAATAACAGGTAAACATTAGCTGCACATTGCTCGATTTCTATTCATTAATCGCATTGAATGCAGTTGATTGAACGTGTGGCTATTGCATGCATCATTCGATCGCAAACATATCAACTCTAGAATGTGATCATTTGATGATGCAAATTATGCTTGTTCATTCTATTTACTGCCAATTTCTATGGCTGTTACCAATACTACACTGAGAAGTATGCGATGACAAGATTCAAGTGCTTGATAAGGATACGATAAGTCACCTCTGAACAGAGCCAAATCTGTGATTTTGCGTTGCAGTTTATTGTTGGGTCGGACGATGCCTTTGACTGGTAGCACAACAAAGCCAGTCTCTTCACCAAGTCCGGGTCAAAACGCTGCATCGTTATTGCTTCAACAAAATCCTCGACGATATACACCGTACTAAAAAAACTCCACAAGCAAACACACATATTGAAGCAGCGGAATGGATCACTTCCCCTCTGTGTGTCTCTCTCAGTGTTAAACCTCAATTTGAATTTTTGAAATTAACTTTTATTTCAGTTTCCCGTTTACAATTCAGTCAGTCAGTTAAATCATTTGTGATCACTTTTATTGTTCATTTTCTTTTCTAATCATATTTCTATTTTTTTTTGTTTTCATGATTTTAACATTGTATCAATCGCTAATAATTTTCCAATCGAAATTCATAGTCACACTAATATGCACTTCAAATGCATAGTTATTCATCAGTGGACAGGCTCACAAAAATTGTACATTACATTGCAAAGCTCTGAACAACTAATGACAGACACAGCGAGTGTTCGTAATATGATATTTCCTTCATAAAGGAGCACTAGTCTGAATTCGATGTGTTTTTAGAACTGCAATCATGAGTCTCTAATGAATATGAGAAATAACGCAAACGACATTATAATCTATCTGAAACGTTCGAAATACTCACAATCAGTACTCTTGAACCACCATTTGCCAATGTCAACAGCTC